TAGACCCAATAACAAAAATATTACGATGACCCTACCAAATAAAAATGAGACTATACTTCCCGACACAATGTTTTACCTTACGCATCGTAGGGGAGGTTATAAGGGCATACTTGATTCAAATGTCTCACAAGATGGCCACTGCAATCATTATGTAAGCAGGCCTAATTTTGGACAGACCACAATGAATCAACGCGCCCTACGGTTATCCTCAGACGTTTTAAATAATAAATCTGTAAGACATAACTATTCTCAACACTTTCCCATTGGGCAGGATGGATTACTAGGTTATTCGCCATCAACCGAACCCCAATTGGCAGGTGCTTGTCTTAACTGTCCTCTAGTCAAGTTCAACAAAATAATGCACTTCATCAAAATAATGCAGGGGCATCACTCTTCTCTCAATAACGGGAAAACTCTTCAACAGGGTATCGTTAAACAGGATGAAGGACTGCGTAGACGCCCAACTTCGAGACCAACAGGCTGGATTTCGTAAGGATCGATCGTGTACGGACTGAATCGCAACTCTACGGATCATTGTGGAACAATCAATTGAATGGAATGCATCACTCTACACCGACTTCATTGACTACGAGAAAGCATTTGATAGCGTGAACAGGACAACACTATGGAGGCTTCTTCGACACTATGGCGTGCCTCAGAAGATAGTCAGTATTATACAGAATTCCTTTGATGGATTAAACTGCGAAATCGTGTATGGAGGACAGTTGACAAACTCGCTCGGGTGAAGACCGGTGTCAGGCAAGGTTGCTTACTCTCACTCTTTCTCTTTCTCCCGGTGATCGACTGGATCATGAAGATGTCAACACCTGGGGAGAAGCACGGGATAAATTGGACATCTAGGATGCAGGTGGACGATCTAGACTTCGCAGATGATCTAGCTCTTCTATCGCAAGCGTAAAAAAGGTGCAGAAGACGACCAGTGTAGCAGCAGTCTCAGCAGTAGTAGGTCTCAACATACGCAAAGGGAAAAGCAAGATTTGTGGAGATATGCCTGACAATCTTATTTTGTAAATAGTTTTTAATGTTATTTGTATTTATTTTGCCAATTTTTCACTGTATGTACATTTATCACTAAATGACTGTACGTGTTGTTTAAGTGAATGACCTTGAACACACTTTCCGTTGTGTAACTTACATAGCATGACATACTGTTAATTGCTAACAAATACATTGTTGCACACATATCCCTCGTTCTACATTCATTTGTGATTGAGTTAACTGAAGTCTAAATCAAATATTATCTATATTTATAGGCTGTGATTGGAAATATATCATAACTTACATGGGATTATATTATTGGAGAGTTCATCAACTTGATTGGAATCATCAAATATTTATAATTGTGGATTTTCAGCACCAGACCAAATCCAAACATTAATCAATTTGGTGAATGTAAGTAAAATTCCTATTTTCTATTGTATTTTTAACAATTGGCTTATATATATTAACATTACTATTGATCTTTAATAACTTTTTACGCTCGTAAATTGTCTGGTCCACCACAGATTCTCTGATACAACACAGCATGCACCTATCGAATCACACTTGACAGAGGAGATTCGGAAGATGTAAAACCTTTACATATCTGGGCAGCATCATTGATGAATACGGTGGATCTGATGCAGATGTGAATGTGCGGATCGGAAAAGCGAGAGCAGAATATCTACAACTGAAGAATATCTGGAACTCAAAACAACTGTCAACTAACACCAAAGTTACAATTTTCAATACAAATGTCAAGATAGTTCTACTGTATGGGGCGGAAACCTGTAGAACTACGAAAGACATCATTCAGAAAATACAAGTGTTTATTAACAGTTGTCTATGCAAAATACTTCAGATCCGTTGGTCAGACACTATCAGCAACAACCTACTGCGGGAGAGAACAAACCAGATTCCAGAGAAGGGAGAAATCAGGAAGAAGCGCTGGAATAGGATAAGACACATATTGAGGAAAGCGCCCAACTGCGTCACAAGACAAACCCTCACATGGAATCAGTCAGTCAGTCTCTCAGTTCTTTTAAACCCCTTCCATTTGTACACTGGTTTATCCATTCAACTCCATACTGTGGCTTGTTTTCTCTAACCTGATGAAACACATTTGCTTAGAAATTGGTTTAATAAAGGGGAATGAGTCTAAATAGTCACACCCTAATTGTTCCACCACAAATGACTAAACCCCACTAGTTATGCAAACTGTCCGTCCTGTTTCTCACCCTTCTCTTTTTCTCTCTTTTTCAGCACCCTGATGGTATACCTCCGAAATCATTTATGGAACATACGACTCTATCCTGAGCCGTCACTTATACTTACAGGATTTATCTGGGATCGCTATCAAGAATTACAAACTAATACGTCCAATTTGACGTGTTTGTTAAAATTTTAGATAAGATTATTTGGATCGAGTTGTTTAAATACCTCGATGAAAACGGGATCCTTTCGGAAGAGCAGAATGGTTTTAGAATTCCTATCTCACAAACTTATTATTGGCTTGTGAAAGCTGGTGCTTTCTTAAAGACAATAAGTTACCCATAGACGTGGTAGACGTGACATTTAAACAGTTCAGCAATGAAAAGTTATTCACAAAAATAAACACACTTTAAAGCATAAATAATTGTACGACTCCAATTCTGTTGATTATGCAGTCAAAAATTGACTATTAAGTTAGGCTAATTTCGCCCATTATTGGACTGATTTGAAATGGTAATATGTGAATACTGACCACTGATATACAATTACCTTTCCATCAACATAAAGTTCATCAATACGTTTAGAAATTTCACGTTCAAAACGTGAAGACAAGTTATCAAAGGTCCACAAAAAAATTATACAGCTGCTAATATTTCAGCTAGATATTCAAGGGTAGATGAAACAATGCTGCTACAACTTAAAGTATAGCCAACAGATCCAAATTCATGATAACAGTGTAATTATTACCACACATCATAAAAAGCTGGGTGACCACAAAGAATAGTTGGTTTTGAAGAAAGTGGTATTTTTGGAGTGATTATTACGAACACAGTGTAAGAATTCTGATGCTGAATGATACACAAAGCAGCATAACAGTTTGAAATGCCACCAGAGATTTAGTGATTTCTATGGAGAACGTAGCGCATAGACTTACACGGACCTACCCCTTTTATTTCAATAAATATAAACGCAAATCATGATGAATTTCAACTTAGAGATGTAGAGTAACTTAGTCTAGTTGGCACAATGCAACTATATAACTAGGTCATCGCTTATGAACTGATAAACATGAGGTTGGCCAGCGCTCTGTAATCAATCAACCTTAAGTTTGGGAGTCGTAGATATTCTCATAGAGAATTTCATCTACCATGACAGCTTTCTAAAACTAGTTATTTACTTAAAATATTAGGCCATTAAACAAATTGGTCAGTAGTTCGAGAAAATGATACAGAGTGATGAGCTAATTTGTAAGTAACTAGAAGTGCTTACAGCAAAAGTAATTAATAACCTCGTTATCCTCCACGTTCATGCCGAGAGCTCAAATAATCTAGATTTTCTGATTAAGTCCATGAACCGATTGATGTTAGACCCTCCATTGAAAACCTAGAAGGCCGTTTCATCCTATTGTGGGACTCCTCAGCAGTGCGTATCCACTACCATGTGCTCACGAGTGACTGGTTTCGCGAGGGAATTCTCGGAGTTCTGTTGAGAAGCCATGACCAGTGGAGCTAATCCGTGCCAGGTAGAGACAGGTATCTACCTCAGTACAACGGGAGATGGTCGCGAAATTTCGTGGAGTGTTTGGGGTTAGACATTAACACCGTTGGATGCCGGTCAGCTCAGTGTTCTAGAGGTTGAGCGTTCGCGCGCGAGACCGAAGGCTCTGGGTTCAAATCCCGCGAGAGAGATCGTGGACACGAACTGCTGAGGAGTCTCACAGTAGGGCGAAACGGCTGTTCATTGCTTCCAGGTTTTCAACGGTAGTCTAACATCAATCGGTTCATGATCTCAATCAAAAACGTAATAATCTTCACAACCCCATACTCATAATATAGATTTTATTACAAGTTAGTCATTTCTTTAGAGGACAAGATTGATAAAAGCTTTCTAATTCATATTCCTGCAGCGGCCTTTGATATTATCTGACTTTTTATTTTCAATTAACTAATTTTGTGGCCCAAGTCTACTGGGTTTTATAACATAAACACAGCTGTTCTATTCAGATATTTGATTTCTGTTTGGAATATAGTCATAATACATACGTATACAATCGCTCATTATTTTGATCATAATTGTGTAACCATTTTCTGTCAAATTAAATTATTAGTAATTGTGACTTTATCCTTTCTATTTTGTATCATTCTCAGCACATACATGTGAAACAATCTTAAACAGATTTAATCATATGTTCTGTATCTTGTTCTTCTCTTTATGATTCACGATTCCATATGGAATATTCATCTAAACATCACTGAATAAAGTATGTTAAATATGTTCATAATTATATTATTCCTTGTAATTTTAGTCTGTTTAGAGCTAATGAGAAGCTATGAAATAGAACGAACCCATTTTATAATCTAGACATTGCTGTTCTCGCACTTACAGTATTTTCAATCTAAAATACAACATTTTGAGAATCTACCTACGGGCATTTATCAGGATTCAGAGCAATACTGATATAGTTTCAACTAGCGTGTGACGCAGCTAAGATGGGGTTCAAAAGTAGTACGAATGCAATGAGAATACCATCTTCAAAAATGATGCAAATTAATTAAAGTTTCTAATTCCGATAATTCTTAAGTATCCTTGTTGTTGAAGGCGCATCGTAGTATTATAACAAAAACATGAAACATAATCTATTATCTATTTGTTTTTTTTACATAATCTAATTATATTTACGATACTCAGACATCAGTATACCATGATGGTGAAAGTTTCCTAACAAGAATAAAACCCAACCTACTGTGATGTTACTGAAGCAACCACCACTTAGGAAGGCAAAACATTATCGCTTGGAAATCAACTTTTATTCAGATTAGAAACAGAAATGCAATACTGTGATAAGATTTCATCATCTACCATAGTTGGTGTCCCACATAAGAGATCTTTCCCATCAGCCGCTTTTGGGAAAGCAATTACATCTCTGATTGATTTGGCATTTACAAATATTGCAATTAGACGATCAAGACCTAGAGAAAATCTATGTATTGATATAACATCCACTAACCTAACGCAATCCCACCATGCGGTGGAGCTCCAGAATTCAGGGCAGTTAAAAAGTATTCCATTTCACAAGAATTTTCCTGAAATAATAGTGATTATATGCATATATATAAGAAATCTACCTTGAGAATCTCGGTAAAAATATACCTTTGTACCTCAGGATTATGTATCCGAATTGAACCACCTCCAACTTCTTGACCATTACAAACTAAATCATAATGTAAACCGATGACTTTGCTCGGATCAGTGTACAGGAAATGTGCTGTCTCTGGCGACGCAGCAGTGAATGGGTGATGCACTGATATCCATTGACCTAAAGGAAATAAGTAGTAAGGAACATAATACATCCGATGAAAGAGTAATGAGCATAAATTGACATAAGATTATGCAGAGCAATCAGTAAAACAGATAATAACGTGATGATACTAATGAGTCAAAGTGCTACCCAACGATAAGACAATTTGTCCCGGACAGTTAAGAACATACAAGACATGACTGGCCACAATAAATTGTAAAGTAAAGAACTCATAAACGACCTACTCAAATCAAGGAATTTAATATTCAGTGTAATTTCTGCGGCGAATTTTGGCGAGACTATAATTCATGGATGAGCCAATAAGAATTGAGTAGATGATTTCAGGGTCACAGATATCTATATTTCAGCACGTACAATCAGTTTACAGCGAATCTTAAGAATGACGTCAAAGTTGAACAGCTACAACAGATGGGACTACTAAGAACCTCAATTACTCATGATTGCGGCATTAAAATAACTGTTGAACAGTGTGCAAACTATCGGGACGATATGGTATTTCGACGTAAAATATATTGAAAGAAGTCTGAAAGAACGAGGACTTTTTGAAACATTGTGGTCAAGGTTAAAAGAATTTCTGAAACATCACCACGGATCCAGAGGTTGACTGTTGTGAAGTCACATAGATGAATTCCTGTATCGTATGCATCACGATTTCAGAGGCACAGGGCCTCTTTCTAATCTGGGTAAGTTTTTAAGACATATTAGAGAAGTGTATCCACTCTGTTTTTTTGGATTTGTATAATAAATTCTTAATCTATGCCAACTGCTTTGTGATTAGCTGAAATTCATCAGGGTCACTTGGAATTCGTTCAAGGGTTTCACCTAACTTTTATTATTACAGATGGGTAGAAATCAGTCTCTCCAAGTGGATATATTAATATTTCTCAATAGCACGGCCAACATATACGAGGGCTACAATTGCTAAGTGAAAGTTTTTAAAGCAACACATGAAATTTCAGATCTCATAACCACAATATTAATTTTCTAGTGTCCTATCTTCAAAATGACAGGAGGGTTAGTGATTGAATAGTCCGACTATTAACAATGAACATTTCACGAATTATGTTTTCATGTGCACAATACAACGAATTCGAAAGAAAACTCGAGATTACATGCGAGAATCTTCTTTGAAGCTTAATTACATTCAATGTATTCTCGAACGAATTAACACAACAATTAGCATAAATCCAATTCACTACAATATACATCTCCTTTTTTGTTTACAACACATACCCAAGTTATTTTTTTCAAACAATGGAAATTGATTTACCCAAAGGAAATGGAATCCAGGTTCATATATTGACAAACCTTTAATATGAACGGAAAAGCGTAATAAAGTTACTTCTGCCTGAAACCAGAAGCAAGAACTGAAAATCTCATATCAATGTAATATATGCCCAATCGTCGGGGCTACGTGATATAAATGAACAATTAAATATGAATGCTTCTTGAAATTACATATATTTCCAGCATTAGAACTTAAGATAATCATAGGCATATAATTCATAAAGATCGGGCAAGTTTAACTAAATCCAACTGGATGGAACAAAGTATTAGCAAATGAAAGTATGATCTTTAGGCTCTTCTAAAAGTTAAAGATGTTCAAATTTCGCCTGATCGGAAATAAATAACACCGACATGTACATGATCATAAGCAAGATAAAATATGTTAAGTGTGCGATCTGTTTAAAATAAAAGATCTAATTAACTCATTTTAATTGTTAAAGGATTTCATTTAAAATTCTTAAGGACCCTCAACGTGACTAGTAGAATTACAGATAAGCATGTTTAGATAGTTAACACTATTCCCATAGAAAAATTTAAAAAAATAAGAGAATTAAGGTATTTTGATGGTAAGATAAAAAAAGCTCTGACGAAAACTTCATCATTTGTTGACCTCTAATATGTATTCCAAAAAGATGAGTGACACATCGTGAACTGACTCAGTAACTTTCTAACTGATGTTAAGCATTTGGAGGACAAAAAATAGGATAGCCGAATTCCTTCTGAAAAGACGGAAACCGATACTATGGTTTACTATCTGACATAGTTTTGAATAAATATTCCAGCCGTGGTCAGCGCACGAACAGGCCTGATAACGATTCACTGGCGAATTCAGTAATTACTAATAAACATGGGAAAGTCATCAGATAAACTGGTTATTTCTTTTTTATGTCATGCTTTTCTGTGGTAAACATTTTGTCTTTGGTTAGAAGCATATTTAGGAAATTTTTAGCAAACATCGTGCAATTAGCTGGGTAGATAATTTCTATCGATATCCTGACACTATCGACAAGCTGGAACCGAAGTAGGTGGCACCCACATCGAAAATCAAATGTTTTAACCGCTAAACTACCGCCCTAATTTTGTTAAATAGTATCAATAAGAATTAAGTTCTCTACCTAGACTGCAAGTTTATTAATACGCTGTTCAGTAGTATTTGTCTGTTTGCGGTTTGTAATGACGTCACCCATTATCAAAGTTAACATTAGGAACAAGACTTGTTAACTCCAGTTAATGTTCAGTAAGTGATTAGTATATGAAGTAGTTTGCTCATTCGAAAAATACACAACTACCACTAAAAGAATATAACTGTAGTCGATATCTAAAAGCTAGCTGATCAAATAATGAAATAGAAAAAGATATCACCTTTCGAATCAATAAGCTTAGCGACTTCAACCCGTGCCATTCCCAATGCTTTTAACTAGTAGGCAAAAACCAATCAATCTGAAGGGTAATTGTTACCTCAGTTTCTGTATTTCCTTTAATGAAGACGACTAAATCACCACACTCCGGCTTTAATAAATTTAGTAAGTCCAAGTGTTTTGACTTGATATTTTGAACTGCAAAGATTGATATTCTCTATAAAATATGAAAAACCAGTAGAAAATAAGGTAGCCAAATCCATCGAAACACTAATCAAAATTGAACTCAAACAAAACATCCAGTGAACGAGACGTGACTGAATACAACCGTATATATGGTTTTACACCTTGATAATAGATTCGTTGAAAAGAGATCCCTTCACTGAACTTGGTGTTTTTTGATCAATACAAACTAAATAGTTTCCGAATAGCAATAAGCAGGGTATAACACTGATATTCCACCAACCATTAGGTTGTCCGTTAACTCCCATTAAGTTTCTAATAGTCGATGGAGTGAAATGTTAAACAGACAAACCATTTGTTTTAATTATAATGATTGTCTAACTAAATGAAAATGAATTGATACTTACATTCGATCCTGATAAAAATATAAGTTTGTTTCAACCATCTTTAACACTATTGGAGTTCCAGACGACTGATGAGCTTATGTTATTGTTTTTAAAAACTGGATTACCACCCACATGTACCAAGTAGAAGTTTACAAACACAAACTCTGTTGTTAATAAGGGTACGTGGGAGGCTGACACTTCCGAAGACACATCATCAGCACATAAAATTACTATTTTGTTGGTGAGTGTAAACCAACTGGTTGGGGTCTGCACAATAATCATGGTCAGCGGTTGGAAGCGTAGGATGGAATAGGTCAGAACCAAAAAGTGACACAGATCCATTTACTCATTGCCTCTTAAGTCTTGAGCTTAAAAATCAATTCGCAATTTTATTCCTTGAACTAATCCATTCTTTAAGAACAGGGTTCTTCAGTACGCAATCTTTCTCATTATTACCAGTTATACTATTACTTCGAGAAATGTTATTCTTCCTATTGTCAATTTCATCTGGTCTTGGAGACGTGGCATGAGGACTTACACTGACGCACACATGTACGCGGCTTTATAACTGACCGACTGAGCTGATTTTGTTTTTATGATTGTGTGGATTCTTCGGAATGCATAACATGAGAAGTTTGTTTAGCACTCATAAGCATGTGTAAAATTTGGGGTAAAATCAAGTTTAATAAAATAAAGCACTTAAAAACATCCCGCAGAAAATGAAGATACAGATGACATACTTGGCCCGTTAGGCGAAAAACCAAATCCTCCAAGTAGTCCCAATCTTCAGCACTTAAACTCGATGACTGAAAGAAGAAGAAAGCCAATATTATACGAGATATACACCGTAAACAATAAAGGGCCTGGAGTAAATCCAAACTGTTCAAGGTTTCCACGTTTCTTATTAGAAAAGTGGGAAGAAATTACTACAAAAGGGAAATCAAGTGAAAGAACAATACGGATATTTGAATAAAACCGGGAAAATTGAGGAAATATGAAAAATTATTGCGATCTTAGACCTCAATCAAGAAATCAGCACTTATACATAGTTTTTTTCGATTATAATTAACAAACGTTTGGCGAATTGCGTGTCGGATACTATGGAGAATGAATCCCATCAGTATGACAATAGGCGTGAGGGGAATGTTTTGCTGAAGGTCATTATCTACTATTCAAAACCCACTAGTTATTAGACTAATATTTTTGTGGAAGTGCTATAAAACCGTGGAGTTCTCACTACTACTCTGAATACCAGGATCAATTTTAATACATTGGTCACCGTTGATGAAGCCATTAAGATAAATAACGAACTCTTCACATTGCTGAGAAAACCACTATCTTCTTACCATTATCAAAAGATAGCATTAACAAAGCAGTCATCAGCGGGATATAACCAACATTAAACGAACTCATAAAAATTAGCTAACACGTACCAAGTTGCTCTGAGGATGAAGCTATTTCGAGAAAATTATCTCAACATATCACCGCTGTTGAGCTATGAAGTCGATGAATTATTATTACACTTTTCTATATTCAAATGATACAGAGAAGCGTCCAGATGGACAATTTTCTCTCTAGTGAAATATAAACCTGGCATTTACTAACTACATATAAGCTTTCGAGAACCTAGAAATCGAAGAACCATAAGACACTTACGTATTTCCTTGGTATATTAAAACCGGTGTGTCCATCAACAGCGGAATATGAAAATAAGAAACCAAAGCGTATATCTGGTTTGTCACTTCCATATCGTGACATAGCATCACAATATTTCATGCGCAAAAAAGGTGCCGAAATCGGCCGACAACCTGAAGTGCTCTGAACTGTAGGCCAAATATATAACAACATATTCTCAATTATTTCATAAATATCATCTGGAGTGATAAATGCCATTTCTATGTCCAACTACAAAAGTTAGGAAGAATGGAAAATAACCTGAGTAAATTCGGGCTGTCTGTCAGATCTAGAAGTCTCGTCTCGAAAACATCTGGCGATCTGCATATATTTACTAAATCCACTTATCATCAAAAGTTGTTTGAATTGTTGAGGGCTTTGAGGTAAGCAGTACCATAATCCAGGAAACTTGGTAGGTACAATAAACTCACGGGCACCCTAAAGAAATCAAAAATTATCACAAATACTTGCCCCTGGAGTAATTTTGAACAAATATGGAGTTTCGATTTCAATAAAACCTATATATGTGAGTCACAAAAGATGTACATTACCATTATTTTGACACAAGAAGCTTCGCATTTGCAAAGTGATAGATGAACGAAACCGCATGTTCCTTTGCATATTCGACGAACGAAGATCAAGGTAACGATATTTTAATCTTTCTGTTTCGTTGACCTTAAAATGATTGAGTGATCGTAGGATAACAACTAACATTCGCTGCATCTTTCGGAAGAAAGGAAATTAAAGACGAATGACTGAGGATTTCAATGCTTTCGGCAACTATTTCAATTTCGCCAGTTGGCATAAGCTTGAAGCTAAGATATAACACAAATAACACTACCTTATTTACATCCCTTTCCGGACGTGCTTGGACTTTACCTGTCACTCTCAGGACAGACTCAAAAGTAAGTTGCGGAATTGGAAGAGAATTTTTATCACAATATATTTGTATTAAACCACGATCATCACGAAGAACAAGAAAACGAGATGACAGTCGACAATGTTCAAGCCACCCGCATACTGTAACGGTAGAGTTGATATGTCGCGTGCTCAGCTCACCACAAGCATGAGATCTATATACAAAGGCCGGCGAGCTTGAAACTGAATAAATCATATCAAAGTAAGATTGTAACTTGCCAAAAGCCTTAGGAATAGGACTTCGGAAAGATGGGTTCAAATTAGGAGTACGAAAATAGAGTCGACTCAGAAGTCTTCGAAAAATAAATGACAACATTTTCACAACTGTGCCGAAACAATAGATTGAGGTTACCGCTTTATCAGTTCAGCGACCTTGAGTCTTCGGATTCAGATTTGTGTAGTTAGGGCAGAAGGCCTACGGCCTATGTTATTCCCCCTCTATTATGCTTCTGTGAGTGTCCAGTCTTCTCTTGAAAGAGTCAATTGATAGACGGATATCTCGCCTACGCCATAAATGACGCAAGTTGGTAAAAGCTAGTCGAGCCTTCTGTATCCGTACTGAGATTTCGTCACACACCAGACCACAAGGGCTGATGCGACTTCCAAGATAAATGAAGCGATCGACACGCTCAATTACTTTACTCACTATCATTAGTTCGTGTCAATGCAACCCAATCCTGAAGCAACATTTTACATTTCGAGGGAGAGAATCGCATGCCGAACATGCTTGCATTATTGCTTAGAGTGGTCAGAAGACTCTGCATTTTGTCAGCGTCTTCACCAAATAAAACTATGTCATCAGCATATTCTAGGTCAACAAGTGAACCTCCCGGTAGAAGTTCAACCCCTGGAAATCTAGACGAGGAAAGTGTTATCTCTAAAAGTACGTCCACGACAAAGTTGAACAAGAATGGAGAGAGTGGACAGCCCTGACGAACACCACTTGAGGTAATCAATTCAGATGACAGTTCGCCATAAGCTCTCACTCGATCAGTTCAGTTGTGTTCGAGTAGAGAGCCTTTACAGGGTTAATGTACTTCTTTGGTACTCCTTTCAGTGACAAACACTGCCATAGAACCTCACGATCAACAGAGTCGAATGCCGCCTTAAGGTCGAGAAATACTACCATTGTGGGGCGTCTGAACGTGTGTCTGTGTTCTAGAACCTGACGTAGTGTGAATATCTGATCGATACAACCACGTCCAGGTCGAAAACCGGTTTGGTTTTCTCTAATCTGCTCTTCACGAGCTTTAGTTAGGCGTCGAAGTATTATTGAAGCTAATATTTTAGACACTATATTAGTCAAACTGATTTCTCTGTGATTGTTACAAGAGGACTTTTGTCCTTTCTTATAGACTGGCACAATCAGTGATTGAGACCAGTCAGATGGGATTACGTCCAGTTCCCAAATTCTACCTAAGACCTCAGTTAATCTCACTGCTAATACTGAACCACCATCCTTAAAAATCTCAGGAGTAAACCTGTCAGGGCCTTCTGCTCTCCCTCGCTTTAGATTTCCTATGGCTTGGATTGAGAATGTATAATACGTCCATCTTTCTCTGAGAGTGTCTCGCTAACAGTCGGTGGAATGAGTTTCCGAGCTGCTGAGATCCAGTGTTCCTCTCTAACCTTACGGATTACCGTATTAGCTGATATCACTGCTCTTTCCACAGCTTTTCGGATATCACTCCATGCTGCCTCGGGTGGGCATCACCTGCATGGCTGCCTAACTGTTTTCCTAGTTTTTCCTGAAATATATTCTTAGCTTGACTATCATTAAGTAGGACCCTAAGAGGTTTCTATGAGGCGTCTTTCTTACGTCCATTAAGACGCAGGCAAATACGCGCTCGCACTGGAGCATGACATGAATCTAATGTGTTAGCTCCGTTCTTCAAAGGGCCTTACAGCCAGAGAGGGAAATCCGTGAGGCAAGGTGAGGTGTGACATTTTTAGGGTTGACGTTTTCTAAAACCTTCCTTCCTTGTGAGAAGGCAGCATCGCTGCAGATGCTGGTTGTCCGAGGGAAACACTTTACTGCTGTCACATCCCTCTACAGTCAGCAGTACAACTTCGCCCTCAGATATTGAATTGCTGCTTTTAGTCTTGCCGTCCTCCAATCGACCTGTCTGGCATGGTAGAACCTACAGGAACATATGTTCCAGCCAATGTAGCTCGGTTGAGTCATCACGATAGGCAAGCCCGACCACCACGTCATGGTAGCTACGGTCGGGTTGTAACAATGCGCGTAGAGTAGACTCCGTTAAAATAGTTTGAAAAAATCTCAGCTTTTGCCTAGTCTGATTCGGCTGGTGAATCTGGTATTTTGTGTAACATTACCGGGGGAATGCCATCACTACATTTTGTTCGCCGTTTAACACACGTAAGCAATTGTTTCGGACAAGTACGGCTATCATATACTAACTGTCGTTTGTAAGTAGTACGGGATTCAGCTATGGCTTTTTTACAAATATTCCGGAATTTTCGGTACTCACGCTGAAATTATGCGTGACCTGTCAACGAGAATAAGTCCCAGAAATGTTTCCTACGCTTTAACAGCTTCCGGGTTTCCTTATTAATCCATGGAGGGTAATGTAATAGCTTGCATGCTGACCATGGGATAAACGGCGACGTTACGGACTCGAATGTAGCCTTAAACTTATTCCATTCATCTTCGATCGATCCATCCGCGTCGACCGACCAATCAATCGAGACAGCACAGTTTCTGATTGCCGGAATATTAGCTCGGCAGATATTGGGACGGGGTGGAGCAGATACGAATTGTATGCCATGTGTCCTAAACTTAAAGTGAATTACAATGTGATCACTGTTCACTAGTGGGGTAAGGTGCTGAATATCAAAAACATCCTCAGAGTGGTGGATGAGGGCGAGGTCTAACAGTGACGGATCATGATTGAAATCAGTACGTATCGGTTTTGTGATACATTGTACAAGTGCACACTGAATAATGGTTGGTAAAAGGTCGCTATCGAAACCACTACCTGGAGCTGTAAGCTCTATCCAGTTGGTATGCGGTGCGTTGAAGTCCCCAATGATGAGACAACATTCTGCCATACTCCAGTAACAGATGTGTCTTAGGATAAAGTCGTCAGCAAGACAAAACGGCTACGGTATATTCCCCTTATAGTCACTAATCCATTTCTAGATTTAATCTTACAACGTGCTACCTCACATGTGCCACTGATATGAGCCTCCGATATGGTTGATTGTATACGAAAGTGATCCCTAACGTATAACATTATGCCTCTCCCCTTGCGACTTGAAACTCTATCACTTCTAATGAAGATATAGCCTGCAATGAAAGGAGAACAGTCTATATCTACGGTGAACCAACTTTCTGTAACAACGATTATATCGGGACATAATTCATCCACCATCAGACTCAGCTCGGATGTTTTATTTCTAAGACTACGAGCGTTCGTGTAGCACACGCTTAAGGTGTTTTGTCAATCAATCGTTCTACCCATACAGGCCTTGGAAGCATTGGCTTCCAAGACCTGACTTCCTGAAAACCCTTAATGGTAAGGTTATTTTCGCCATTTAACATGCGAGTTCTCAACTCCGTAAAAGCATTCTTCCACTTGATTCGATCATCAAGCGGCCAATCTTGTCGGATTCGAACATTGGAATCACGAGTTTTTTGCGTGTTTTTCAATAATATATCTCTTTCTCCAAAATTCCTGGGAACCAGCCTCAAAATCCTTCTCGCCTCCGACCCATTTACCAAGTAGTATTACTTTCGTGATATGTACCCCTGAAACATCTTCAGGTAGTGCATCGTTACTTTTTTCACGTGGTATTATTTTACTTTCCAATCAAATGGTTCAAATGGTTGTGGACGGAATAGAAGAAGCTTTCGCTTAGCAGGCTTCTGTGTCTAGTAGCAGGGGATCACAAAATCCCCCAGTCAGGAACCTAGGTATGTTAACAACAAAAGAGGAAAAAGAAATTGGTAAATCACAGTATGATGCTGTCCTTGGTCCTTAAGAATAGATCAAGTTGTCTCTTGAAGGACTCCTGGAGAGTCGCTTAGACTAGCTCGGACGGCAGCGAAATCCAGCATTTGACAACTCTTAAGGAGTAGAAGTTATGTCTACATTCCGTTTTGCTATGTTGTGTCTCCAGTTTCTGGGTGTTTCCCCTTAGGTTATTATTCGAACTAAGCCTAAGTAGGTGTTTAAGAGGATGTTCCGAAGTGTTAAGGATACTGTAAGCCATCAGAAGGTCACTTCTAACACGCCTATACTTTAACGGGTAAAGGTTAATTGATTGGAGGCGCTCTACATAAGGTTTAAATTTGAGTCCTCGAACTGATTTCGTGGCTCGCCGTTGGATACGCTCCAGAGCGTTCTTATCCTTTGGGAGTGAGGGGGGAAATACTAAATGGGGACGGATGAAACTGTTGAAGATTATATGGAAAGTTTTAACGTCAAACTGGCCAAAATGCGCTTCAATGTTACCAGTGCAAGGTTTGCTCGAAAGGAATTTTTGTCAAAGTTATCGTAAGACTTCAAATCGAAGGGTACCAGCACTCCTAAATACTTTTCGACTCAGGATACTACTAGAGAGGAGTTTCTTAAGTTGCAACTGTAGTCTGAAACATGTCGCAGATGGACTACTTTACACTTTGAAGTGTTACATGTAAGTCCGCTATCGTCTGCCCAACTTTGAAGTGGAGTTAGATCCTCCTGAAGTGCCTGTATATCGTTTTGGTTGCGTATCTCTCTCCAAAGTTTCACGTCATCGACAAAAAGTAATAAATCTGACGTTGTCTGTTGAGGAAGATCATTAATGTAGATCAGGAAGAGAAGAGGCCCTGGTACTGAGCCCTGGGGGACCCCATTAGGACATTCCATAGCCTGAGATAAAGTTAAATTAACCCTAACCCTAAAGTGTCGAGTTTTTAGGTATGAAGTAAGCCAATCGATTAAAGGTGGTCTGATACCTAATCGTTTGAGCTTATTGATAAGACGTGTATGGTTAACCTTATCAAAAGCTTTTGAGAAATCAAGGTAAATGATATCAACCTTTCCCTTGCAGTCGAGGATGCTTGTTCATCTGTCCTTCGCAGTCAGCAGGTTGATTATACAAGAGTTGCCCTACCTGAAACCATGCTGTTGGGGTGAGAAGAAATTTAAGGACAGTAAATAGCCATGCATACCATTGCATATCAGGGACTCCATGATTTTTGAAGGTATGGAGAGAAGAGCCACCGGTCGGTAACTTGGAGTTTCACTGTGTCGACCTCCTTTGAAAATTGGTGTGATGTGAGCCAACTTCCAATTTTCCGGTAGTTTGCCTCAACTTGGCGAGTGTGAGAACATCACGCTAAGCGGCGTTGCCGGGATTGAGGCTGCTTCCCTCTG